GACCGGGCCTACCTTTGTCACAAGGCTGATCATCTGCGGTTTGCACAAAAGACAGACGCGACACTGTTAGTGGAGGGGAACCAAGAGGCCCTGTGGCTGAGGAGCAGCCGCAGCCCCCACCCGGGTGCCTAAGGAGCCCCCCATCTGTCCCCTCCACCTCTTTCCCTCCTCCACCCCCCACCCCCAAACCTGTGCTGTGAGTGGTGGTGCGTTATTGAGCTCCAAGCCTCTCTCATTAGTGCCCCTCTGTGGGGCTCATTACTGGGCTCAGGAAGCCAGTGCATCCTGGCATCTCAAGCAGCCGCCTTAAGAACCAATTATTCAGCGGCCGCTCCAACTTGAGACAAATCTGGAACGTGGCCACAGAGCCAGGAGCCAGCGAGCGACTTACAGAGGGAGGGTGCCTGCAGGGAGACCAGGGCCTGCTCAAGCCCTGCTGGGATCCGAGGCGCCTGGGCAAAGGCAGACGCCAGAGGGCGGGGTGAGCAGAGTGGGGAGCCAGCTGGACACTGGACACCTAGAGCCTGCTTGGGTCCCTCACTTGGTCACTTGTCCTTCTGGTCCCCAAAAGACCTGACCCAAGGAAAGACTCCTTTCTCACTTCGGGCTCTGATCCCAGAGCCTCAGAAACCCAGGCCAGCTCCAATCAGTGGACTTCAGAAGCCCGACTTTCCCTTGGGGGAGGCTGGGGGATAGGGGAGCAGATGCCAGCCTCCCTCACATCGTGGGGTCTTGTGACAGTGGAAAGGTAGGCAGCCATCTGGATGTCTATTCTTAAAGTGCTGCCCAAGTTGCCAGATCAAATGGGGTCACCTGGTGACACTGGGATTTAGAGCAAGCACCAATTTGGTTTGGATAGCAGTCTGTCCACATAGTGCACGGAGCAGACTTATACCAGGAACATGATGCAATGCTTCTCTGAACTTCAAATTGAACTACTGGTGGCCTGCATTTTCAACCGTGAGTCTGGGACTCCAATACGGGAGATGGGACCAGTCCTGGGCCTCTCCATTCCTTTCGAGCTCCAGGGGTTCCGACCTTTTCCCAGATCCGAATGCCCCTTGAGATGTTCACTAATGCTGGGACCCACAAACGCAGTTGTACAGGTAATTTGGGCAGCGATGTGAGCATGCCAACAGGTGGAGACGCTTTTCAGGGAATGGCTTCCCCACCCGGCCCACCCCCACCTCTGGAGGCCAGCAGGCTCCGACAGGACTCTCGACACCTCTCTAGCCCAAGCATGAAGCCTCCGCACCTCACCCTGGTCACCCCTTGACGCACACCCCTGCCAGCTTACTCACAGGGGGGCCTCTTGGGGTTCTGGGGACTCGGCAGGGTGCCCGTGGCTCTCCGGAAGCTCAGCCGCCTGTGGGGACACAAGGACAGGACTCAGGAGCTGGACACAAGGACCAATCCGAGGGAGCCCTCCAAACGCTGTGGGAAAACTGAGGCCAGGCCTGCAGGTAAGCACAACCCGGCATCCTGAGGCACATTCAACATGCAGGATGAATGATTGCAACCTCTGTCTGTCTGTCTGTCTGTCTGTCTGTCTGTCTGTCTGTATCTCTATCAGGGACAAATTGGAGACAACCGAACAGGGAGGCAGTCAAGTCACATATAGAAGCCTTCTCATGAGCCCAAACCAACACACACACACACACACACAACACGGAAAAACCCCGCCCATGGACATCAGGCTGCTTCTAGCACATAGCAACCCTGGGGGAGGGTGCAGTCGAACCGCCCACCCAGCAGGGTTTCCCAGGCTGCCGCTTTGGGGAGACAGACGCCACCTCTTTCTCTATGGGGCAGCTGGTGGGCTCAAACCACCAACCTCTGCACACCCAAGCACCTAAACACAACCCCGCCAGGGCTCCCCGTGCGTGCCTAACCTCCCAGCCTGAACGTGCAGTGAAACAGGCAACCTTTCCAGCAGCACCCAGCCCATTTACATAAAGGGACCGCTTGAACAGCGCCCGGCTTTCTCAACCAACAGTCAGCTCTTCCCACAGAAACCCTGGGATCCCAGAGGTGCCTTAGAGACCAGCTCAATCCATAACCCATACTTGCTGCCTGTGAATGAATGCTACATCCCCTGATAAAATGTCAGATAGCCACTAAAATCACAGTCATATGCGGCAACGTGGGGAAAGTGAATGCCAAAATTTGTTAAAAATAAATAAATGAAAAATAATAATTTATAAATTATCAAGGGTTCATGAGGGAGGGGAAAAATGAGGAGCTGATACCAACGGCTCAAGTAGAAAGAATGTTTTGAGAATGATGATGGTAACAAACGTACGAATGGGCTTGACACAACGGATATATGTATGGATTGTGATAAGAGTTGTACGAGCCCCCAGTAAAATGATTAATAAGTAAATAAATAAGAAGGCCACAGATTCTCTTAACAGTCACACGCAAGGCAGGAAGAAAAGAAATTACGCAGCTTAGCGACAAGACTTTGGGTAATCTTCTGACCCTTCCTTTTCTATGTCTCAACTTTCTCCAAGTATGTAATTTTAAAATACGCATTAATAATAAAAATTTTCCTATTTTCATCTAAATCCCAAATAGCCACCACACTAGTTACGGGACAAGGGGAACGGCACCCGGCCGCCCTTGCGGCCATGTCGACAGAACCTGGGGATTTGCTCTAGACCTGTGCCTCTGGCCACTTCGGCGCTACCTCCCCGGCAGCACACCCCAGACCTACCTCTCCTGGAACTGCTTGGAAGGAATGAGGCCGGCTCGAAGGTTCGTGTCCCCCACTCGCTTGGCCTGCCACCATGTGGGGTCGTCCTGGCTCACCACCTCCAGGACCTGCCTGCGCTGGAAGGGCAGGCCTGCCTCCTGGCAGGGAATGGCCCGGTCCTCCCGAGGGTTGTAGTGGAAGAGGGCTCGCATGAACACCTGCAGGGGAAGGGCAGCGGTGAGGCGGTAAAGAGAGGTGTGTCCACGTCCTCACTGAAGGTCAAGCCACAACGACCGTTCACAGGTAGCCTGGAGAACAAAAAGCTAATCGGAGATGCAGTGCCCGCATCGTCGGAGTGTTCCGAGACCACTCAGGATCGCACAGGCAGGAAATCCATCCTGGATCAGAAAACAGATCGATGGGAGTCCAGGCCGAGATTTCTCTGTCCAGCCTGAACATTTCCACGGGCACCGCATCTGTTTGTCCTCTCGGCAAACACAGGAGAAAATCTAGGCCTGGGAATGAAAGAATCCCGGTGAGCACAATTTCGACCAAAACCTTCTCTTTGGTGTGCTGGCAGGCTCTCGGGAAGCCAGCAGCTCCACTACTATGTAAAGGAATCTGAGGCTAGGGGACACACACAATCAGCTCAACGGACCCTGAGTCCTGTGCCAGGCAGAACTCCCTGGAGGCGGCCTGGTGGGTCTGGGGCTTGCCAGTTTCCCACCTCGGACCCTTTCCCGGCCCTCTCTCTGAATGGAAGGCCTTTGAGCTTCCTTCTCAGACAGGTTTTAAAGGGGAGCTCTCTTCTGCCGGGACTGCCATAGCACCGACCCCCAGCTCCGTCGGCTTCCCCCTTCCCGAGACAATGGTGGGCGACATCTCATCCCACTCCTCGCTCTCTTCTAGAATTCAGTGTCCGATGATTTTCCAGGCAGACCGAGGAGATGTGGAGGACTGGGTTCCGGGCCTCGGCGACATAGTGGGAGTCACCATACGGGGGTGGCCCAGGGTTTTGCTTTCTCAGTGCATCTGTAGGGGATGCTGCAGTCCACTAAGCGTGCAGCTGCGTCCTGGAAAAGGTGCTCATGAAATAGCGTGGGAAAGGCCGGAGGGGGACCCGGAGACACGGGGTGCGCACCGCACACCGTTGGAAAGTGGCGCAGAGAGATTCGCCGTTGTATCCAGGAGAACAAGGGAGGAAGAACAGGTTTTGAAAGAGATTGGGGTATCGATTGTGAGCGCTGCTTGATATGACTGAACTGAAGGGTATGGTGTCTGGATGATGTCCTAATAAAATGAATTGGGTGAAGGGGGTGGCGAGGGAGGAGGATGCCTTATCAGCAAAGTGCACCGGAGCAAAAGGTAGCGTGCCTGTGTTTGTTTCTATTTTCAGAACACCAGGGCCCAGTTACCTCGGAGGAAAATTGGAAGGAGGCTTCCTTAGATCCAAGCAGATTCCGTCAGATAATAGTAAGACCTCCTCACCACAGATTGTGAGGATTAACCACCAGTGGTCCACAGGGGTCCCTTCCTTGACTACATCCCCTTTAGTGGAATGGCTGTCTATCCTCCCCCCCAACTCCTGTACTAGTGTTTCTTGGGGGTCCCCTCCCAATCAACTGTTTGCATTGAGTCCTTCCTTAAGATGAGCTTCTAAGGGACCGGAAACCAAGCAGAGATGACAGGCAACGCCTTCCACACCGCGCTGGAAACCACTGAGGGAAAAACCAGCTCACTGCCAGGAAGTAGATTCCGACCCATAGCGGCCCTACAGGACAGAGTAGAGCTGTCCTGTGGGTTTCTGGGATGGCTGCTCTTGCCAGGGGCACAAAGCCTCATCTTTCTCCCTTGGAGCAATTGCAGGTTTTGAACTGCCAGCCTTGTGGTTAGCAGCCCAACCTGTAACTCATAACACCACCAGAGCTCCATTCAGAAGGGAGCCTTAAACCATCTTCTGAGCTCAGCACTCCTCACTCCCCCTTTGCCCCACCCCTTGGCTCTTTCTCACTGGTCCCCCAACATGTTCCTCTCCATGGTGCCCTTGAGCCTCTGAAGTCCCCTCCCCTTCTCCACCAGGAAGCCTGACTTCTCTTCCCCTTCCTCCGTCCTTGCCCCCTCTGCGGACACCCGCTACACTGTGACACCTTGTAAGGCACCTGTGACTCTCTGGACAGAGTCGGACAGAAGCACTTACCACACAGCAGGGAAAGCCCTGCTCCCTGGCCGCCGCCTCTGAACCCAGAACCCTTGAAGCTATGACTCATCCTTTTCTGGAGCACCAAAGGGAGGCTCCGGAATAGAGTGAATAATTACACAAATGGCAGTTGCTTAAATTGGTTCCCAATGCAGCACCCTCGGTATCTCCTCCTCCTCCTCCTCCTCCTCCTCCTCCTCCTCCTCACAGGCCGGGTTTTCTATTTCTATTCAAATAACCTTGCCTTTTATTAGCAAGCCATGTCAAATCCTGCTGAGGAAGAGGCAGGGTACAAATAAATGAATCACTCTCTGACTTCATTAAAGTTCTCGGTTGGGCACACGTTCCCCGGGCCGGACGTCTGCTCTCTCCCGGGATGACTGTTTCAGAAAGCTCAGTAGGAGCCTCCCACCACCCCACCCCTCATCCTGGGCACCCAAGGACCAGCGCCCCCACCTTGCTCTCCTCCAGGCAGTCCTCCTCCTGGGTGGCCGGGATGATTTTCAGGGTGATGGAGCCCTGGGACTGAGCCTGAAAGGGAAGAAAGTCAGGCCCTATCACCTTCCTGGTCTGACCCTCTGTGAATCCATCTAATGTCCCAGGCCTATAAACTCACGCTCAGAGTCAGGTTCACTGCCTCTCTTGCAACCCACCCTTCAACTGGGGAGCTTGGCTGCAGCCCCTGAAGCCACACTCCGGAGCCATGAAGCCAAGACTCGGTGTTTTCATGGGACAAAAGGCAGGAGATTTTACAGGAGAACCAAAAGCAGCATTAATTTCCAACTCTCCATCCCTCCTGCCTTCCTGTGCCCCAAAGGCTGCCCCTTCTTTCTTTCCTGGGGGATCATCTGAAGGAACTACTTCCAGTTCATTGTCCTCTTTCCTGCCCCATTGAGGGCTGTTCCCCACCACCCCCCAGTTTGTATTTCCCTTTTTGTATCCATCTTCCTCAGCGGTCTCTCCTCTGTCAGGTCACTCCCTCTTCTCCAACCAGCAGAGTCCAGGCAGCATGCTCCCAGACCACAGAGCCCCGCACCCATCACACAGGGAGTCAGACCCTCTGCTCTGGGACTTACAAAGCTCAGTGGCCAGAACGGGAGGGGAGTAACTGTATATTCACAGACTGCCACCCGGGTCTCCTTTAGGGGACCCTCGGAGAGAGCCTCCTCTCTCCAGATCACGTCCTGTTCCTGCCCTAGAACCCACAGACTTTAGCAGTGTAGTGTGCGCTGTCAGGGCAAGGAGCTCAAGGACCAGGGCTCTGCATGTCCAGTTTCCACTTATACCTCCCCTCACCCACAACTGGACCGGGAGGTGGCTTAGTGCCAGCACTTAGTGCCCAACAAACCCCTTCCAGCTTTGAAGTGCTTTCCGGATGTTCACAGCCTAATGGGAACCAACACACACACATACACACACACACTGCACTGCACTGACATGGAATTGATTCGATACCAACTCACACTGACCCTATAGAATAGAGTAGAACTGGCCCTCTGGGTTTCAGAGACTATAAATCATTACAGGGGCAGAAAGCCTCATCTTTCTCCCAAGGTGTGACAGACAGGACAGACCTTGAGGTCAGCAGCCCAATAAAGACCCCATTACCTCACTCCCTGCCCTACCGCTACTCTCCCGGGAAGGAAACAAATTCAGAATGATCTCATGACTTGTCCAAGACAGCGCCACTGGAAAGGGATGGAATCAGGATTTGAACCCAGGACTGGCTGCCCTCCAAGTCCTTGCCCTTTGGATAAAGAGGCTGTTTTGAGCAGGTCCCAGAGAAGCGACCCCAAGAGCCCAGGAAAGTGTCTGTGCTGAGGAGTCTGAGAAGGGCAGGGGTCCTGGACACCCACTCTTCCCATCCCCTCTTCCCCGGCTGCCAGCCCCACACAGAGCCCGGCTCAGGCCTGTGAGGAAGCCCACCGGGCAGTGCTATCACCCACCAGAATCTGGCTGATCTCGTCGGGCCGCTTGTGCAGGACGGGGATCCCGTTCACTTCTCGGAGCTCGTCCCCCACGTGCACCAGGCCTGGAAGACAGCAGACCCAGTGTCAGGGAGAAGACGCCTATCCCAGTGAAGATGGTGAGCCACACCCACCTAGCAGCCTCTGGTGTTGACTGGCGAGTGTCTGCATATTAAGGCTGTTTGCGGCTCAGCTTTGTCCCAGATCCGCGTCAGCAGCAGGCATGCGCTGCAGAATCTGAGCCAGGCCAAATCCGGGGAAGTGGGGGCCAGCCTAGGCATCCTGGCTCTGAATCTGCGTTTCAACAAGACCTCGGGTCTAGAACTCTCCACACAATGGTTCCCCAACCTTTGGGAAGAACTTCCTCACCAGAGCCAGGGGGTTGCCTCCCAGGTCAAGGCATTCTTAGATACACAAGTGCTCTTTGATGTTTCCCACCAACACACTCCTCCCTGCCTTGGGAATAGAGGCTGGCTTACTCCAACCTGGGGAGGCATGAACTGTGTCTCTCTTGTCCCCCAGTTAAGAATTACCCCCCAGCCATATGCTCGATGACATGAGCTCTCTCCTCATCACTCCCAAAGTACTAGTTCTGTGGGTTTGGGAGGAGAACCCCAGCCTCCCTGGCACACTGGTAACAGACAGAAGCAGGGCACGGGAGGCGGAGGACGAACTACAGCCAAAGGGGGGAAGGCTTTGGAACGACAGCTGTCCCTACAGCCCGGACTGCACGGCCATCACTCACCGCTCCGGTCCGCCGCGCCCCCTCGCATGATCCTGGCCACGACCACGGCCCCCGAGTGCTCATCCCGTCTGATGGTGGCGCCCTGCCGTGGACACAGAGCAGTCCAGCCCTAAGAAGCAGCCCTAAACCTCAGACTGACTTGCTGAGCCCAATAGAACCTCCCGCCCTTCCTGCTGCCCACCCCCTCCCCAAGAGGCAGAGCAGTGGGAAACAGCCCCACACAGAAGAGGTGCTCTTCAAGTTCGGTCCCAGCTCACGGAGACCTGGTGCACAATGGGGTGATCATTGTGCTTGGTTGCCATTGGCTGGTTTTTGGGGATGTGGGTCTCCAGATGTTTCCTCCCAGTCCATCTTTGCCTACAAGCACTGCTGACTCCTGTTTGGCATCACAGCAACACACAGACTATGGGCCAACGGGCGGTGGCTTTACTTGTGCCTGGAAGGTGAGACCCTAACCACTGTCCCACACGGCCCTGCAGCACAAACAGCCTTGTTTTAGGGAGCAGGGCCTGGGGCTCAAAGCTAGCTCGCTGTTCCAGGGCACACAGCTGGTGAGGAGCAAAGCCCTTTGTGACGCTGAATCCAGTGTCTCCTCTTTCATGTCACAGCCCCTTGCCACTCGCAGGGGCAGTTAATGAGGATAAAGCATGCCAGCCGATTCCCAACCTGCCTCTAAAACCCACGGCACGGAAATCATGCCCCAGCCAGAGCTCAGGAACTAGGGCATGACTCCTTGTTTCAAACCTCGCAGTGCCTCCCCCTGTCTTGGGGGTCAGGTGAAGCAATGGGTGGGCGTGGACAAGCCAGGCCTCCATGATCTGACCTCCTTGATCACGCCCTGCCTTAGATCTGGGATTCTAGTCACCACGGGCGGCTCAGCACGTGCGGCTCTGCTGTTGGCAATGCCCTTGCCCTCCCTCCCTTTTCCCTCCAGCAAATTCCTTTCCCTTTGCCAGGAATTCAGCCTGGGCATCACTTCTTGCAGGAAGCCTCCCCAGTTGCCCTGGTCTCAGACAAGATCATCGCTTTCTGCCTCCCTCCGAGCCGGCCAACTCCCAGAGGCAGCCGCTGGCAAGATTCAATAAACAAGGGGGGTGGGTTGTGCCCCAACACAACTTCAATTCTAAACACAAGTGGTGGGCTAGCTTGCCCACCTCTGGTGTAGGGGTCAGAGTTGGGGCTGCCCTGTACAAAGAGCTCGGGGTCCTTTACTAGCTGACAACGCGTGGCCATGGATGGCGGGGGGGGCCTGTCTCTCACCAAGAAGGGGTGCCCTGCCCACAGTTGCTACAGAACCAGCGCTGAGGCAGCAAAGGCTTCGGGGAGGTTCTTCCGAGTTGAATGGGCCCAGCAGGGCCGCAGCGTGAGGATGGGGGTGCGAACGGGGAAGAGAGGTGGGCGCCACGTACCAGGGGCTCCTTGTTCTTCACCAGGCGGACGATCTTCACCGATTCCTCTTCAAACTCCTCGTCAATATTGTCCGGCAAAGGAGGGAGGACAGGGTCGAAGTTCTTCTGGGCCACCGTGTCATGTACCATAAGCACGGCCTGCCGGGGAAGTCAGACACAGAGGGCTCTGGCCCGCAGCTCGCCAGGGTTAGGGGGCCTTGCCCGGGCAGCGGTGGGGTGGTCTCGGGTGGTCTCATGCCAGGGAGGCCATCCACCCACCCGACGCTGGCCCCGGTTCTTCACTCAGACTCACGTCCTGGCACTCCCTGCCCCCCCATCCCAGGAGATGCGAGCTGCGTGGGCGGGTGGGGACTGCAGCATGACTACCCTGAGGTGGGGGGTGGACAGCAGCTGGAGCAGCTCCCTCTCGTCGCCGTGCACGGAGGCGGCCTGTAGCTCCTCCATCACCTGCAGAGGGTGAGAGAATGCCATGGGCAGTGGGGCACGGGAGAGGCTCCCTGCCCGGCGCCTGCTCAGGAGAGCCTGGCTCCCCAGGTCTCAGACTCAGCGTTGCCCAGGGGCTGATGCAGCGCTAGTACGCACCAGACCCTCAGCCACTGCAGGCCACAGCACAGGCTCCCCTCTCCCTCTCCCCAGGCCTGCATGAAACCTGGCGCTGTGGGACTCTTAGCTCAGGGCAGACCCTGCCAGGGCCCAGGAACGCTTCTCAGCTCAGAGGCCAGGAACCTAACGGGTGCGAAGCCCTCACTGCGTGCCCTTGGCTTTGCGTGGACCTACTCAGTTAGCCCTCCCCACGAGCCTAGAAGAGGCAGTTCCGACTGTACCCCCATGAGAATTCGGAGGCTCGGCTTCAAGGCTGAGCCCCCAAGGCTGCACGGCTCTGAAGTGGCAGGAGCAAGATGTGAATGGGGGGGGGCGTGTGGCTCTACAGTCTGCGTCCTTCACCACGAGTCCTTTTAGGAGGAAATCTGGGCTCAGAGCATGATATGTCTGGTCACAGAGCAGCACTGGGACCAGGAACCAGGCCCCTAACAAGCGCCTGTCACCCTCGGTGGTGGAGGCAGATTCAGGGGCCCACACCCACACCAGTCCCTCTCCTGAGTTAGATGGAGGGGCTGGGATGGCCAGTGCACCGCAGGGACTTCACACTGGCCCTCCAAGTCAGAGCTCAGTGCTCCAGGCCTCGGGGCGGTCCGGCCCCGCCGATCCTGTCCAGACCCTCTCATTGTGCAGCCGAGGAAACGGGCTTTCTCTAGCACACGTAGAGTGGGCATCACGTGTTACTGTGTCTTGGGACCTGGTCCAACACTCGGCGTCCTGCCTGACTGTCAGGAGGCCCGGGCAGAAGGTGACCTGCAGACATCTCTGGCACGAGTCCCTGGTTCCTGATGTCGGTCACCTGGCTAAGCAAGGGCAGTAGGGCAAGAGGACAGGACCCTGGGAGACGCAGGGTGGGCGCCACCATGAGGAACATCCCGAGCTTACATCTTCGGCGAGCGCCATGGCGCTGTGCAGCACGGGGGTCGGGCTTTGTCTCTCATAATAGCGGAGCTTCTCATGAATCTGCAAAGACAGCAGGTTTCTGGCTGGGGATGCCCGGGCCTGCCCCAGGTCTGCCCCTGAGCCCACCCACCCCGCCACGGCATCGAGGACACCTGGGCCTGCTGACTGGGCCACTCTCTGGGTGGTAGAAGATAAACGTTGCTGACTGGGCAAGAGGAGTGACTAGAACTGACCTCTGTAGCCCACTGGCCACTTGGAAGCCACTCATTGCTGTCCAGTCAATTCCAGCACCTCCTACCACCCACCTAGGTTGCAGTAGAATATAATCTTGCAGAAGGGAGCCTGATGGCACCGCAGCTCGGCCGCCAGTGGTTCAAACCCACTAGCCACGCCACGGGGGAAAGACGTGCCATCTGCTTCCACAGATTTACAGACTTAGAAACTCCCGGGGGCAGAGACTCTGTCTTCTCTGTCCTACAGAACGGCAGGGAGTCCAAATTTGACTCAAAGGCAATGGGTTTGGTTTTTAATTACGGAAGTAGATCACCCGGACTTTCTTCCACATCACTGCAGGGCAGACGGGAACCTCCCCCAGCAGCACGACAGGGCCCTAGACCCCACCACGGGACCGATGGGCGGGCGTTACCTTCATTAAGTAACTGAGGCTCTTCTCACTGAACACGTCCCGCAGGAATCCCATCTCCTCCTTGTGGTTGGAGTCGGGTCGAAGCTGAGAGGTCAGCAGCGCCAGGGTCTCATGCAAGCCTGCAGAGAGGGAGAGAGATAGGTGCACTGGGCACGTCCTGTCCCTCAGGACCCCACTTGCCCCCTCCAAACAACCCCGGAGCCTGGGCAGCTCCCCAGGCTCTCAGCCCCAGGGCTTAGTGGTAAGGCAGCTCCTGAGGGCCAGCCCCAGCCAGCCTGGCTCCCTCTCCAGCCCTGCCTGCAGGGTGGGCCCCAGCACCCGAGACTCACCCGAATCCTCTGACAGCACAGGCATGTCTGTGCCCACCGGCTCTTCCTA